CGTACCGCTGAAGAGCCATCGGAAATCCTGAAATGCATACCACTGAGAAGCAATCGGAAACCCCTACCGCCCCTAGCGGACACGCCTACCACTGACAAGACATGATAAACCCCTACCGCCATAGCAGACACACTTAGACTGAGAAGCCATCGGAAACATCTACCGTCCCAAGCAGACAAGCCTTACACTGAGAAGCATTGGGAAACCCCTACAGGATATATCGGACACGCCCACCATTGAGAAGCCATCGGAAATCCCTACCATCCCTATCGGACACGCCTACAACTGAGAAGCCATCGGAAATCCTGAAATGCATGCCACCCAGAAACCATCGTAAACCCCTACCGCCCCTAGCGAACACGCCTACCACTTAGAAGTATTGGAAACCCCTACCGTCCCTATCGGTCACGCCTACACCTGAAGAGCCATCGGAAATACTGAAATGCAGACCAGGGAGAAGCCATCTGAAACCCCTACCGTCCCTAACGGACATGCCTACCACTGAGAAGCCATCGCAAACCCCTACCGCCCCTAGCGGACAAGCCTACCACTGATAAGATATGAGAAACCCCAACCGCCATAGCGGGCACACGTAGACTGAGAAGCCATCGGAAACATCTACCTTCCCTAGCCGATAAGCCCACCACTGAGAAGCCATCGGAAAACCCTACCGTCCCTTGCGGACCCGCCCACCACTGAGTAGTCATGAGAAACCCTTACCGTGCCTAACGGACACGCCTACCACTGAGTAGCCATGACAAACCCTTACTGCCATAGCTGACACACGAAGACTGAGAAGCCATCGGAAACCCCTACCATCCCTAATAGACACACCTACAGCTGAGAAGCCATCAGAAACCCCTACCGTCCCCAGTGGAAACGCCTACCACTGAGAAACCATCTGAAGCCCCTACCGCCCCTAGCGGACACGCCTACCACTTAGAAGGCATCGGAAACCCCTACCGTCCCTAGCGTTCACGCCCACTACTGAGTAGCCATGAGAAACCCTTACTGCCGTAGCGGAAACACCTCCCACTTAGAAGCCATCGTAAACCCGTACCGTCCGAGGCGCATCCGCCTTCCATTGAGACGACATATGAAACTCCTACCGTCCCTAGCGAACACGCCCACCACTAAGAACCCATGACACCCATACTGCTGTAGCGGACAGGCCTACCACTCAGAAGCCATCGGAAACCCCTACCGCCCCTAGCGGACACGCCTACCACTGACAAGACATGAGAAACCCCTAACGCCATAGCAGACACACGTAGACTGAGAAGCCATCGGATATGCTCAAATGCATACCAATGAGAAGCCATCGAAAACCCCTACCGTCCCTAGCGGACACGCCTACCACTGAGAAGCCATCGGAAGCACCTACCGTCCCTAGCAGACAGGCCTACCACTGAGTAGCCATGAGAAACCCAAACCTCCGTAGGAGACATTCCTTTCACTGAGAAGCCATCGGAAGCACCTACCGTCCCTAGCGGACTCGCCAACCACTGAGTAGCCATGACAAACCCTTACTGGCATGGCGGACACACGAAGACTGAGAAGCCATCGGAAACCCCTACAGTCCCTACCGGACACGCCTACCACTGAGAAGCCATGGGAAACCCCTATCGATAGAAGCGGACACACCTTCCAATGAGTAGCCATGACAAACCCTTACTGCCATAGCGGACACACGAAGACTGAGAAGCCATGGGAAACCCCTACAGTCCCTAGCGGACACGCCTACCAATGAGAAGCCATCGAAAACCCCTACCGTCCCTACCGGACACGCCTACCACTGAGAAGCCATGGGAAAACCCTACCGATAGAAGCGGACACACCTTCCACTGAGTAGCCATGACAAACCCTTAAAGCCATAGCGGACACACGAAGACTGAGAAGCCATCGCAAACCCCTACCGCCCCTAGCGGACACGCCAACCACTGAGAAGACATGAGAAACCCCTAACGCCATAGCAGACACATGTAGACTGAGAAGCCATCGGAAACATCTACCGTCCCAAGCAGACAAGACTTCCACTGAGAAGCATTGGGAAACACCTACAGGCTATATCGGACACGCCTACCACTGAGAAGCCGTCGCAAACCCCTACCGTCCCTCGCGGACATGCGCACCACTGTGTAGCCATGAGAAACCCTTACCGTGCCTAGCAGACACGCCTACCACTGCGTAGCCATGACAAACCCTTACCTCCGTAGCGGACATGACCATCACCGTCCCTATCGGACACGCCTACCACTAAGTAGCTATCGGAAACCCCTAGCGTCCCTAGCAGACACGCCTAATACTGATAAGACAAGAGAAACCCTTACTGCCGTAGCGGACACACCTACCACTGAGAAGCCATCGGAGACCCAAAACGTCCCTAGCATTCACGACCACTACTGAGAAGCCATTGGAAACCCCTACCGTCCCTAGCGGACACGCCCACCACTGACAAGACATGAGAAACCCCTAACGCCATAGCAGACACACGTAGACTGAGAAGCCATCGGAAACAGCTACCGTACCAAGCAGACAAGACTTCCACTGAGAAGCATTGGGAAACCCCTACAGGCTATATCGGACACGCCCACCACTGAGAAGCCGTCGCAAACCCCAACCGTCCCTCGCGGACATGCCCACCTCTGTGTAGCCATGAGAAACCCTTACCGTGCCTAGCAGACACGCCTTCCACTGTGTAACCATGACAAACCCTTACCTACGTAGCGGACATGACCACAACTGAGTAGCCATGAGAAATCCTTACCGTTGTAGCGGACACGCCTACCACTGAGAAGGCATTGGAAACCCAAACTGTCCCTGTCGTTCACGCCCACTACTGAGTAGCAATGAGAAAACCATACCGCCGTAGCACACACACCATACCACTGTGAAGCCATCGGAAACACCTACCGTCCCTTGCGGACACGCCTGCAACTGAGAAGCCATCGGAAGCCCCTACCGTCCCTATCGGACACGCCTACCTCTAAGTAGCTATCGGAAACCCCTAGCGTTCCTAGCAGACACGCCTAATACTGATAAGACAAGAGAAACCATTACCGCCGCAGCGGACACACCTACCACTGAGAAGCCATCGGAAACCCCAACCGTCCCTAGCGTTCACGCCCACCTCTGAGGAGCCATGAGAATCCCTTACAGCCTTTGCGGAAACACGTACCGATGAGAGGCAATCGGAAACCCTTACCGCCGTAGCGGACACGCCCACCACTGAGAAGCCATTGGAAACCCCTACCGTCCCTATCGGACACGCCCACCATTGAGCAGCCATGCGAAACCCTTACCGCCGTAGCGGAAACGCCTACCACTGAGAAGCCATCGGAAACCCCTACCGCCGTAGCAGACACATCCTACCACTGAGAAGCCACCGGAAACCCTTACCGCCGTAACGGACACGCCTACCTCTGAGTAGCCATGAGAAACCCTTACCGTGCCTAGCGGACACGCCTACCACTGAGTAGCCATGAGAAACCCCTAGCATCCCTAGCGGACACGCCCACCACTGAGTAGCCATGAGAAACCCTTACCGTGCCTAGCAGACACGCCTACCACTGAGTAGCCATGAGAAGCCCATAGCGTCCCTAGCGGACACGCCTACTATTGAGAAGCCATCGGTAAACCAAACCATCCCTAGCGTTCACGCCAACTACTGAGAAACCCTGTGCGCCGTACCGGAAACACGTACCACTGAGAAGCCATCGGAAACCCTTACAGCCTTAGCGGACACGCCTACCACGGAGAAGCCATCTGAAACCCCTACCGTCCTTAGTGGACACATCCTATCACTGAGAAGCCATCGGAAACCCCTACCGTCCATAGCGCACACGCCTACCTCTGAGAAGACATCGGAAACCCCTACCGTCCGTAGCGGACACGGCTAATACTGATCACATTTTAGTTGATGAGAAACCCTTACCGCCGTAGCAGACACATCCTATCACTGAGAAGCCACCGGAAACACCTACCGAGTTAAGCGGACACGCCTATCACTGAGAAGCCATCAGAAACCCCTACCGTCCGTAACGGACACGCCCACGACTGAGTAGCAATGAGAAACCTGTACCGTCCTTAGCGGACATGCATACCACTGAGAAGCCATCGGAAATACTTACCTCCCAAACGAACACGCCTACCACTGAGAAGCCATCGGAAACCCCTACCGTCACCAGCGGACACGCCTACTACTGAGAATCCATGGGAATCCCCTACCGTCCGTACCGGAGACGCCTACCACTGAGAAGCCATCGGATACCCCTATCGTCCCTAGCGGACACGCCTACTACTGAGAAGCCATGGGAAACCCTTACTGCCGTAGCGGACACGCCTACCACTGAGATGCCATCGGAAACCCAAACCGTCATTAGCGTTCACGCCAACTACTGAGTAGCCATGAAAAACCCTTCCGTCCCTAGAGGACACGACTACCAATGAGTAGCCATGAGAAAAAACTACCGTCCCTATCGAACACACCTACCACTGAGAAGCCATCGGAAGCCCCTACCGTCCCTATTGGACACGCCTACCACTAAGTAGCCATCGGAAACCCCTAGCATCCCTAGCGGACACGCCTAATACTGATCACATTTTAGTTGATGAGAAACCCTTACTGTCCCTATCGGACACGCCTACCACTGAGAAGCAATCAGAAACCCCAACCGTCCCTAGCGGACATGCCTACCACTGAGAAGCCATGGGAAACCCCTACCGTCCCTAGCGGACATGCATACCACTGAGAAGCCATCGGACATGCAGGTATTGTCAAGCGGTCATTTCACGAGAGTTAATTCATTTACGTACTGTTAATCGAGGAACTTAATACAAAGGCATAATGTGGCTGAATATGAACAATTACGACAGTTCTAGCCAATGTTAATAGCCTCAGAAATCATGGAAATATACATCAATATACAGGACGGTATACAAACATCGTTGATTTTTTCAACCTTACTCTTACTAGAATCAAGCCTTGTCGATGAGCCTACCTGCCAGATGCCCCCGTCATACCCAGATCTGTATGTCTTGGCATCTGTTCCGTCTTTTGTCTCCACGTAGGCCAGACGTCGCAGGAACAGACGGTCGTCCCCGAGGATGCAGTTGGACCTGATCCTGTCAACGACAGCCTTGACGACAGCGGTGCCGGAAGCACCTGAGGACATGGTCAAGTCCACGCTCCCTCCAGTCCCCAGAGCGCTGGGCAGGAACAGCGCCCAAAGTAGATACATCAGCATTCTTCTTCACTGTTGGTTCTCTGGACCGCTTCTGCAGGTGGAATATATATATACTGTACCTGGGTGTTGAGGAACTATTGCGGTATCAGGTTTAGAGGTAAATTAAATCACATGAGATTCTACAGAGTACAGATCCATGGGGTCGCTTGGCAGATAGCTACAGACAGGTACGAGAGATGTCTACGCCCACTAACTAGCCTGAAGGGTCACGAAGACTTGTGCAGATACCTACATAAGTTAAAACAATGACCACCTGAGCGCTTAAAACCCCGTTACCTAGCATTTGGCTCCCGGACCCTACAATATGCGTCGAGAATGGCTGATCAATTGTACTTGCTGGGGATGCAAAATCAGCCATTTTGGGCGCGTTTGTTGTTTTATGCTGCATTCGGCAATAGTGCAGCTGTATGACGTCGGTCTGTACATAATCGAGTCTGTGGTTGATATTGTGAACATGGTTACGATGACACGATTTGTCGGCATGTCCGGGACGGCATCCAGTAACATCCACAGATAGTAGAACTGGCAACTGGCATATCAAAGCACATCACATTCACATCGACTTTAAATCGACTTCATATCAATACCACTTGTGGGCATTAAGGCACATCCTTGATTACAGACGCATTGTCATAACATATACTATCTACATACATAAGATAACAACGCGATAAATCCAAAAGATCAATAAGGAACGAAGTGTGTGTTTTTTCACGTTAAAACATTGTTCTATCATTATGTTATTTCTGGAAATTCGAACATGCGCTGGCAATATGCTGACGTTGTACATTGAACGACATCCATTTTGAGAGGGACGTGTCTAGTGAGTTGTTACCCATAGATGTAGCTGGGCAACGCAAATAAACGCAGGAGAGATGTGACAATCTGTATTGAGATTAAAGGTAGACATATGAGAGTATGCAGGAATGATCAACGTGCGCATACAATGGACGTGTCCAACATATCCGAGGTCGGATTTTATTGAGGGAGTCATCATTTTGAAAATACGGGTAAATAGTTTTATCATCAGAGGCTGTAAATAATGTTGATATATCATCTAAGGAATGAACGACTCGTTGTCGTCGTTTATCGTACGATAACACACTGCAGGAAGAATAAACCACAGGCTCCCCTCGTGGTTTATTCTGCTTGCAGTGTTTTATTATACGATAAACAACCTTCACTCGTTGTTTTGTTCTTAAATGTACACCAGGAGATCTACACAGTAGCCAGGGGGCAATGAGATGTACGTCTTGCAGGAGGTGAGGTGAAATTGGGTTTAACGTCGCGTCCAAGATTATTGCACTTATATTGCGACGTGCATGCACACGTGTGTGTGTGGCCGCTTGTATTAGTCCGGACTGATGCCGATTTAAAGTGCTAGCACACTTACCATGCCGCAGTTTAACATGAATACCCTACTCAGACACAGTACACAGACTCCGAGCCGACCAGTCCTTGTCTTCCGTGGTTTAATGCCGAGCGCCAGAAAGGATAGCAACAAGTACCATCTTTTAACGTCTTTTGGTATGACGATGCCGGGGATCGAACGTCGGGCCTTCCGCTTTCCGGGCGGACGCCATACCACTAGACCACAGAGGCGGTCACGTCCTGCTGGAACCCTCAGGAATCCGTGAGAGAGTGAGTTTGGTTTAATGCCACGGGTGTAACTCTGCACGGCGAAATGTTTGACCTCAGACGACTGAGCCACCCTTTACCCCTCATACAGCGGATTGACGTGCGACATAAATATCACACGGATCATTGCTATGCTTGTCTGCTCGCTCCCGGCATCATGGACAAACATACGTATTGATCGGCCTCTATATCGCACAGACCCGTGTAGATCCGGGGTAGAATAGGTCTTCAGGAACCCATGCTTGACGTACAAGGCGTTCTTGTCGTGAGAGGAGACTAACGGGATCAGGTGGTCAGGTGTCATCGTATCCCAATTGCGTGGATCAATGTTCATGACGTGAATCACTGAATTGTCTGGTCCTGACTCGATTCTGTACAGACCGCCGTCATTTAGCTGGAATATAGCGGCGTTAGACAACAAACAAACAAAACTGTATCGTACCTCAGCATGTTTGCGACAAGGACACTGGTGGAACTTACCTTGCGTGACGTGGTCCTGATGCTAGATGAGCTGTGGGACAAAAGACATGGGTATTTAATACCCTGATGGCATGCCATTCAGTTGAAGGTGTGCCCAGGAGGTGGCGCTGTCGAGAACGTGTATTCACACTGTGATGTAACACTTGTGATGTAACACATGTATAGCGTTACACATGGATAGTTATATTCACAGTTTACTGAATGTCACACTCGGAACCTACTGCAGTAATATGAGACAACACATCCGAGTGCAGATCACAGCAACAGGACACCTTTCCTAACACTTTTCAGGTACTTTGGAAATACAACAGGATGCATGCATTTCATCAGCTCTACAATTGTTAAACAAGCAATATCGTTTAGGATGATCATTCTGTCAAGAGTAGAAACGAAAACAACCAGAAAGGAAACAAGTCATATGTAATATTGCAGATTGGTCAACACGATATCCGCACACAGTAACTGAAAAAAATCTTAAAGAACCAAAATTCTAATTTCTTTTCCGTTCGTGTGTGGAATTAAAGTTGCCCCCCTAAAGTACAAAATAAAAGGGCATGAACGGTGTCATGTTGTACATGTTAGAAACGTCTGATGTATAGAGGTGTGTACAGTCCATCTTGCATTCACTCTCACCTCCCCCACTGTAATCTTTAGTCTCCTCTCGAAGCATCATCGGTATATAACTTATGACTGCATACCTTGAAATCCCCTAATCTATAATTTCAGCACTGTACATCTCGTGCGGTGGCAATAGATAGGGGAGGAAGTAAGATATTATGCAAGTTCACAGTACATCAATGAGGACGTAAGTGTATAGTAAGGAGGCTATTGTTCAGTAAGTGATTAAGGGATACAGCAATGAGGCTATAGATCAGGGAGGAAGTAAGTGGTACAGCAATGAGGCTATAGATCAGGGAGGAAGTAAGTGGTACCGCAATGAGGCTATAGATCAGCGAGGAAGTAAGGGATACAGCAATGAGGCTATAGATCAGTGAGGAAGTAAGGGGTACAGCAATGAGGCTATAGATCAGGGAGGAAGTAAGGGGTACACCAATGAGGCTATAGATCAGCGAGGAAGTAAGGGATACAGCAATGAGGCTATAGATCTGTGAGGAAATTAGTGGTACAGCAATGAGGCTATAGATCAGGGAGGAAGTAAGGGGTACAGCAATGAGGCTATAGATCAGCGAGGAAGTAAGGGGTACAGAAATGAGGCTATAGATTAGTGAGGAAGTAAGGGGTACAGCAATGAGGCTATAGACCTGTGAGGAAGTAAGGGGTACAGCAATGAGGCTATAGATCAGGGAGGAAGTAAGGGGTACATCAATGAGGCTATAGATCAACGAGGAAGTAAGGGGTACAGCAATGAGGCTATAGATCAGGGAGGAAGTAAGGGTACAGCAATGAGGTTATAGATCAGTGAGGAAGTAAGTAGTACAGCAATGAGGCTATAGATCAGTGAGGAAGTAAGGGGTACACCAATGAGGCTATAGATCAGGGAGGAAGTAAGGGGTACAGCAATGAGGCTATAGATCTGTGAGGAAGTAAGTGGTACAGCAATGAGGCTATAGATCGGGGAGGAAGTAAGGGGTACAGCAATGAGGCTATAGATCAACGAGGAAGTAAGGGGTACAGAAATGAGGCTATAGATTAGTGAGGAAGTAAGGGGTACAGCAATGAGGCTATAGATCTGTGAGGAAGTAAGGGGTACAGCAATGAGTCTATAGATCAGGGAGGAAGTAAGGGGTACAGCAATGAGGCTATAGATCAACGAGGAAGTAAGGGGTACAGAATAAGGCTATAGATTAGTTAGGAAGTAAGGGGTACAGCAATGAGGCTATAGATCAGTGAGGAAGTAAGGGGTACAGTAATGAGGCTATAGATCAGCGAGGAAGTAAGGGTACACCAATGAGGCTATAGATCAGCGAGGGAGTAAGGGATACAGCAGTGAGGCTATAGATCTGTGAGGAAGTAAGTGGTACAGCAATGAGGCTATAGATCAGGGAGGAAGTAGGGGATACAGCAATGAGGCTATAAATCAGCGAGGAAGTAAGTGTTACGGCAATGAGGCTATAGATCAGGGAGGAAGTAGGGGATACAGCAATGAGGCTATAGATCAGTGAGGAAGTAAGAGGTACAGCAATGAGGCTATAGATCAGTGAGGAAGTAAGTGGTACAGCAATGAGGCTATAGATCAGCGAGGAAGTAAGTGTTACGGCAATGAGGCTATAGATCAGGGAGGAAGTAGGGGATACAGCAACGAGGCTGTAGATCAGCAAGGAATTAAATGGTACAGCAATGAGGCTATAGATCAGCAAGGAATTAAATGGTACAGCAGGAAGGCTATATATCAGTGAGGAAGTAAGGGAAACAGCAATGAGGCCATAGATCAGGGAGGAATTAAATGGTACAGCAGGAAGGCTATAGATCAGTTAGGAAGTAAGGGGTACAGCAAGGAGACTATAGATCAGGGAGGAATTAAATGGTACAGCAGGATTATGGTTACAGTCTGCGGGTGATTCAGTGATTTGAAATGCGAAGTGATCAGCTGCCCAGACTTGTCACGTGAGCAGGTGTTTCTCACACATGCGCCGTCACGGCCACGCCTATCACACGACGAGGCACGCTCAGGTGTCTGAAACGCTTAAGTGCATAGCTTCTGTTGAGAAAAAAAGTACGTGTATCACTTGCATGCATCCGTATCAGCAGACACAGCGTCCCGGCCGTATCTGTACATCAGTAGCGACACCTCCACCTCGTGGAGGAATAGGTGCACATCGATACTCAACCCCCCACGTACTGTCGCGTCCAACATTATTGAACTTATGTAGCGAATGTGTGTGTGTGTGTGTGTGTGTGTGTGTGTGTGTGTGTGTGTGTGTGTGTGTGTGTGTGTGTTTGTGGATGTTTGTACTGCTCCGGACGAATGCCGATGTTATAGTGCTAGTCTACTGAGATACCATGCCTCAGTTAAAACATTAATACCCTACTTAGATACAGTATAATGACTCCGAACTGACCAGCCCCTTAATTTCGAGCGTCAGGCAGGATAACAACAAGTACCAGCTTTAAACGTCTTTTTGGACGCGGGCGGGGTTCGAACCCCTGACCCTTCGCTGTCCAAGCGGACGCTCTACCACTAGACCACGGAGGCGGCCCCTACAGTAGAACACATGACACGCAGTACGTCACACAGCTATACAGTTTTTTTGCACTGATCACAGTATCTTTGGTCTTTGAGAGATAGGGAACAACTGCACCAAGGAAAGCATAGAGACTATGTTCCCCGAGGACAGTGTCTACACGAGCTACAGAGAGCATAACTACCGAGGGGGCGTGTCTGTGTGTGTTCACACTTCACTGTTACATGGTCTGCGCCGTGTTATCACTGACTACACAGACATGTTATTTCTGTTATCTGATAAGAGCATATTTAGTCTCATACGTAATTTACTTATTGGTTTTGTATATATCCATCTTGTAAATACTTCAGTAATGACAGACAATAGAATCAATAAGGGTATAGAGTACTGAGATAAATGCTGTGCTATATGAACATCCAGAGTGGGAAATTATTCCTCCTGGCGACTATAATGCACGGTGTGGTAATTTGAAAGATTTTATTATCGACGACAACAACAGATTTATTACATGTTTAGACGACAAGGAGTATGAATGATCTTTATTTCCTCCATTAATTTCGGAGAGTGATATACATTTGGAATCATGTTAACACAGCATATTTACACGAACATTATATTATGCAGAGAAATTGGCAATACTGAATATTTACATGTCCTGGTCCTGGTATGAGATATACTGTCTATAGATAGAGCAGTGATCGCAGGTTCCAGGAGCTTATGTCTCGTGATACAGAAGATATGAATTCAGCCCATCTGTCAAGGCTCATATCCTCTACAATAGGGGTTATACCACCTAGCAATGTCACAAGTTTGACTTCGTCAACTGCGCAGTCCTCAATACGCATGTATTGTTCGAGGTTTAAAGAGTCAAATAGATGTTCATAGAGGGTGTTCCTTGCATCAGCTAAAGCTGTACAACACAGCAGTTGGTGCTTTATTATGTCATCGCACTCCTCATCACACATTAAACACTGTCCAGGTGTTATTGGTAGTGTTCCTAGTTTCACAAGTGCATACAAAGGTCTAGTTGGTATATTGTACAGAATACACATATTCCACAGTCTATGAGGTACAAGCTTACTGTGAATTTTAATAAATCTGTTTAATTCAGGGTGATCTCGCAGACTCGTGTGCCAATGAGCAGTTTCATGTTCTGTTATTTTAGTCTGTACGGTTTTGTTCCACACATCCTTGGATGGAAACTGGTTAGTTTTCATAAAGTGAACTCTTATGGTCCATAATTCATATTTCTTTGCCACATTGAGTAGATCATGTGTTACAGACTTACTTTTGTCACTGCCTGTTATATATTGAGCACACTTGAAATAGAACACCTTTTTCGGGGCATATCTGTGGCTGCTTCTACACATCCTCCCAAGGAACATCAGCTTCATTTTGTCAATCACGGATGTCATTGTCCACGATCCCAGCGTCTGAATAGTTGCAATGGTCGAAGATCTTACATGAAAATTTTGTACATTACGTGCAAAGTAGCGCTGGAGTTTTTCAATTTCATTGTGTTCTGTCTTGGACATATTTGACCACAGTTCACACGCGTAGAAGGCACCTGGAATTATTACTCTACGCCATATGTTCATACAGCAGACTGGGTTCAGACCACCTGCTCTTAGACCAATATCTCTCAGGGAATTCAAATTCTTCCTCGCCTTAGCGCAAGCTCTCCTGGTCCTTTCGGATTCTAAATGAGTACTGATAATAGAACCTGCATATATTGTGTTCGATTTCATTTCCAGTATATGGTTACCTAGTCTAAAAGAACCTGGTTGGTTGATTTTGTTTCCACCTTTAAACACCAGAACACAGCTTTTTCTTGCATTATATGTCAATCTCCATTGGCAAGCATATTGATGTACAGTCTGTAAGGACATGCATATGCCACTACTTGTTGAGCTTATGAGAGTTGTGTCGTCCGCGAGTAGAACAACTGGGAAGTGATCACGTCCAAGCATAACACCTTGTTTCAAATGGTCAAGG